CTGGCGGGGGGGCCAAGGGGGCAGGCTGGGGAGGAGCCTCCCTGAAGGGAAACACTTTCTCTTCATCCTCACTTCCTCTTTTACTTTTCCGTCACCATTTGGCGTGGGCTTGTCTGGCTCCCCCTGGACACCTGGCTCCTAAGAACGCGGGCTGGGTTTGTGAGAATCCAAGTCTCAGTGCCGAGCACCGTGCAGACTCTCAAGAGGAAAGAGATGAATGTATGATACTTGAGGGCTCGCTGGCCCTCCCTGCCTCTGGGCCTCCTCCCTCCTCAGCACCGGCACAGCTCTCCAAAGCCCACGGGTCCCATCACCTCGAGCCTCCACAGCCCTTCTGTCCCGAGGAGGAGGCCTGGCCAGCCCCAGCCTGCACCCTGTGGCCGGCCGCTAGCCCTACCAGGGAGCCCGACCAGCCTTGCCGTTTCCCCCCTGGACAAGTGCTTCCTCCTGGTAACTGCCTGTTCATCCCCACACCCAACCAGGGTCAAACACCCCTCCTCCAGCACTCACACGCAGCACACGCACACGCACACACACGCACAGCCGGCCCGCGGAGGTGCAGCCGGCTGTTTGGGCTGTGGGGAGGCCAGGCTGGATGCGGAGAGGCCAGCCGGGCTGCAGGAGGACAAGGGCCGGGCGCGGAGGCGGCGGCAGGAGACAGGCGGGTGGCTCGGATGTCCAGACATGAAAACAGGCCACCGCACGCCAGGGCCTCGAGGCTGGGGACTTCTGGGTGGGGCGCCCTGCAGCACGGAGGGCGGGGTCCCCAGGAGAGGGAGGACGCAGGCGTGTCCCCTGTGGGGTGCTCTGCGGAGCAGGCGGCCTGCCCCAGACCCGGGCGTGGTGACAGCCGGACACCTCTGTGGTCCCGCCAGTGCGCCCCAAGTGTCAGAGGAGGCTGTGAGTGCTGCTTCTGTCACTGCCCCCCATGCCCAGCCTCCCCATCCCCGCCCCACAGCACCCCTCCTGCAAGGTGAGGCCCAGCCAGACGTGGGCCAGGGAGGACCGGCTGGGCCAGGAGCCAGAAACCACCGTGGCTTCAGCTCTCCACCTCCGCCCAGCCTTGGGGCTGTCTGCTGGGAAGGCAGGGGGTGGGGGTGGGGACCCCAAGTCGGGCTCCTCCAAGACAGGCCACACCCTGGCCTCCTGGGGCGGGGAGGGTGGGGCCCACACTGAGTCATGAAGCCTCTACTTCCCTCTGCCTGGAGAGAACCCTTGGGCCCACTTGGGGCGGAGAGGAGCGGGCGACTGGCAGATCACCCCACTTGAGGCCACCCTCGGCCCTCTCTGGCCTCCTTGGCTCCTGTCTCTCCCGCTGGGGGATGAAATGCAGCCCCCAGGAAGTCATCCCAAAATCTCCAGCTAGGAAACTGACAGTCTGGGGCAGGGTGAGCAGCAGAGACCCCCCAAGTAGAGCAGAGCAGCTGACCACCTGCCCCTCTAGTCCAGCGCATGATCTCCGAGTTACATGCTTCTGACTAGGAGGCGGCTGACGGGCGTTGGGGCTCTTCCTGGGCTGGGTCCTGGTTGGTCAGTCCACCCGCTGGCCTTGGACAGGCTCACGGGCCCTGGTTGTCCTTACGTATGAAATGAGGGTGAATGACACCTGCCCCTGGGTGACTGGGAGACTTGGTGGCAGACACCCTGATGGGTTCAGCTAGAGTGAGTCATCGGTCGCTGTGGTTTATCTCAGGGTCCAGCCAGTGCACGTATGGATGCTCTTGGCTCTGCTCCCCAATCTGACTCTCCAGGCCCTGGGAGGAAAAGCAGAGTTCCCCCCCACACACACACACACAGGACAGAGCCTCTGGAGAGAGGGGGCCCAGCCCCCAGGAGTGCCAGGGGCAGAGGGCGCTGGGGCGAGAAGACAGGGCAGCAGGCTGAACCTAGCCTGGATGGGCCCTGAGTCCTCCCACCCCTGTGGCGAGAGATCCTGGCCAGGTCCGTTGGGGAGCGCGCAGCACAGGCTCCTGCACCCCGCGGGAGTAGTCCTGGTCTTCTCCTCTCTGGTCTGGGTCCCCTGAGCCCCGCACAGTGTGAGCGAGGGGTGGTCATGGCGGTCCTGCCTCCACCCTGCGTCCTCCGGGAACTCCCTAGTGACCAACCGCAGGGAGGGAGGCTCCACCTTGACACATCAGCCCTGCTGGCCCCTGAGAGCAAGGCCGGGCTGCTGGGGATCGGTGCTTCCCGCTGGATGCTGGGCAGAGGCGCCCGGTGCGCCCCCACCCCATCCCTGCAGCAAGGAGGGCTGCCGCACCATGGCCACCCACCAGCGCCGGGCACAGCCACGCAGGTCACCATCTGCGGGCACATCCTGATCACTTAGCCCTCACCACCCCTCACCTCGCCGTCGAGGAAACTTCCAGAAAGCGAAAGAGCACGACCAAAGCCTTATGCGCCCCGCCCGGCCGGGGCGGGCCCTACCTCCCCGGAGCCCGCCTGGCCGCTGACCTCGACCAGCAGGGGGCAGCAGGCCCAAGGAGAGGCGCCCTTGGCCAGCTCGCGACGGCCGGCGGGCCGGACTCGGAGCCCCGCCCCTCGACACCTGCACCGGCAGCCCCCACCCACGCGACCCACCCACCCCAGTATTTCACCGAAGAAAAGTGGCCAGGTGACTGGGCCATTCGGCTCGTCTGGGCGGACCCAGGATGAGACTCGTGCTGTCCGAGGCTGCCCGGGCCTGGGGCAGGGCGACAGCCAAGTCTGTGGGCTAGGAGCTGGAAGGAGACACCCCGGCCGGCCGGACTTCATTTCCTCTCGGCTGGGACTGGGGGGTCCGGGCCCTGCCCTACACTCCCCGACCCTGCCCGAGTGTGTATCATAGTTCACGAGGACTTAAGGATGTCAAAGAATCCCAAGAGAATGCTCCTAGGAAGTAAGG